AATCGGTAAAAAAATGAAAGAATAAACTTTAATATCACCAAACAATGTATATTTCCAATACAGCTTCATAAAATGAAATGGATAAATGAAATAGTGATGAGGTTGTAGGTAGTCATTTATTTTATTAACAGCTATTATGATAATTAGTTTTTCTTTTCACTTTCCATTTCCGGCCAGAATTCTAATTTGAGTGTATTCAAACGAGTAGAAAGCGTAGTATTTAAAGGAAGAGGTTGTGGTGGTAGAATCAGAATGAGAATCTCTTGAGACCACATGACCAGTTGGGTTCTCCTGCGACAGGTAATGCAGCACGCCTGACTGTGTTCACATATTATAATTTTAAGTTTACAGTTTATTTTTTGTAGATGACAGACACCATATATTCAAAGAAATTAACATACTGCTGGATATATGCATGTGTTTTTGATAGTTACAGCAGTTGCATGTTGATGTTATGTAATCGGGTAAAAAAATGTAAGAATTAACTTTATTATCACCAAAACAAATGTATATTTCGACATAAAGGCTACATAAAAAGGAAAATGGCTAAATTAAAGTGGTGAATTGAGGTTGTAGAGTATTCATTTATTATATTAACCATTTTATTAACCAGTTATTTTATGATTAATTAGCTTTTCTTCCTCGCTTTCCATTTTCCTGCCAGAATGCTAATTTTGAGTGTATTCGAATGTGGTAGAAAGCAGTAGTGTTTAAAGGAAGAGGTTTTAGATGGTAGAATCAGAACGGAAGAATCTACTTAAAGACCACATTACTAGTTGGATTCTCTTGGGAGCCGGTTATCTGCAGCATTGCATTTTTCTCGCCATTAGCATTATCAAGCCAATATTAGGATCTGAGACAATTTGTGCATTTTCTGTCTGCGTAGCCTTTGGGCTAACTAAAATTTACTTAGTTAAATTCATTTGTTACTTTTTAATTTACGCCATACATGCTGGCTGATTATGTATGAATAAGTTGTGCACTCTGTTAATTTGTCTGAGTTTATATAAGGGTTTTTTACACCTATTCCAAACCTCTGTTGTAATTTCCAAAACATAATGAGAAATCGCTTAAGTTTTCCAGAATTGTCACACAGTATATATTGTCAAAGTGGGTGAAACTCTTATAAGGTGTGCAAAGACCAAAAGGAGATTCATTAAATCAAGAAAAGTAATCAGTGGAAAGGGCTTTAGATCTTAATAATGAAAAATCGAATTTTACACCAAATATTCAAACTTTTGTAAATATTTTATATTTAACTAGCAATAGTTTAAAATAATAATAAAAAAAAACACCTTTATATTCATAATATAGGTTACATTCTGTGAATTTCCCATAAATAAACATAAAGAATACATTGACAAAATCATCGTACTAAGCTATTTTGGTAAAGTAAAATCTACTATTTTCATTGTACTTCAAAATTAGGTTGTTTTCATGAAATTCTTTTATTAAACATTAACTTAAATTTGATAATCAGTCTTCAAGTTCAAAAATCAGTTAACTGTAATTACATTTGTTTTATGATCAAATATTATAATTTGGCATTTGAGCATTTCTAATGGCATTCCTTTTTCTGTTCAACATCTGTGCTCTGTAAGTTTATAACCAGTTAAATTGTTACTGTGTCTCTGAAAAATCAACAGCATTCTTAAACACCATTAAAAAAAATATTTCTGTGTGTAGTATTTTATCAGCAGAATTTTTTCTAAATAAATACAGAAGTTGTTATGAAAACAACTGAAAGTACGTATCCTGAAAGAGAAACAGTATTCATAATGTTTGGTCAATTATGATAAATTAACAGCTATCACAACTTTGCACAGGCCCACCAGCGGCCGAGCAGTAAAGTCCCTGAACACTGGTAGTTCGACCCAAGGTTCGAATTCCGCGAATGGGCTGGCTGCATAGGTATTTTCGTGGTTTTCCCTACGTGTAACGTGTATACAAGCCACTTTCGCTTAGAAAGTCTTCCATGAAGGCATCCCTCCCCTTAGGCAGACAGCCCTCAAGGCTTTGCCATAATCACACACATCATAACTTTGCATGCATGTTGTATACATTATATATATGCATAAAGACCAAATTTTGGTAATAAGTAGAGTTGTCAGAAAATAATCACAAAGTCTAACCGAACGTACTCATCACATGTACTTGGGGGAGGGGGGACAAATTTATGTACAACTAAAATTTCTGTTAAGTATTTGCCAGTCTTAAAGAATTTTTGGGGGGAATTACAAATGTATCAATTTCTCATTAATATAAAATCATTTGTTGATAATTCCAAATATTAAAGAAAAATTTATTTTAACTTTCTGAAGCCGGCTGGTACAGCAGTTGTACCAGGAGAATGACTTTCTCAGACGCCGGCATTGGTACAACTGTCGTACCATCCATGCCCTCCCCATTTTAGAGAATCGCCTATCTGTAGATCTCTGGGTGGTCCATTGTCGCTGCTCAGAGTAGCCGCTGGCTACGCATTATTTCCCTCTTCTTATCAGTTTGGCTACATTTTGGCAAAAACCGCAGGTTTCGTCTCGCGCCAATATACTTGAAAATCAAATAGAGGCCATCTCTTTCTCAATCTGTCTCATAATTTTAATGCTAATTTTTTTAGTACTGACTTTTGCTATGATTAAAACGTCAGCGATTTTGCACGCTCTTTAAGCTTACCATATTTAATGTTTTTTAATCATAACAAATAAGAATAGATTAATATTTTAGATTTAATGCCCTTCTAGAAAATAGGTAAAACCGCTTTTATCGTTTACTTCCTTTTCATACTTATGAATAATAAGATTTTATTTTGACATTTTTTGTGGAGTGCATAAAACCCTTAAGAACTGTTAACTCTTTCAAAGTGCTTCTATTATGTAGGCAAGTTTGTCTGATTTATCAGGAGATAAATAAGAGACAAATGTATGCATAATAATTTTTGTGATTTTCATTCATTCAGTGATTGCTTTCAATGATTTTCATTGATTGTAAATTAAATAAAATCAATTTATCTTTAGACCCTCTTTTAGGGTAAGATCTGCCAAAAAGTATTTAAATATCAGTAAAGCTGACGTTACTTCTAAATTGAATCAAAACATCAGTTACATTGTATAAAATTTCGGCCAGTTTTATTTGCTGAAATTCTTATACTCCTCAAGAGATAAAGGGAATATCTTTAAAAAAAGGTTGTTATTTTGTCTGTAATAAGGTGTATGTCAACTTACTATTAAATGTATGAAAATTAGGATTGGATTACTTAAAAGCACGTGAACGCTATCTACTTACGGGGATGGATGCTTTCATATAAACCTGTTAAAGAGAAAATTGCTTGCATTTACGTTCCTGGTGGAGAACTCCTCATGTAATCAACCCGTTCTTTGGGTTTGATTGGATTAATTTTGTTCGCTTACTGAATTGCATCAAAGCACACAACAATTACCTGTATAAGGGGAGTTATGCCTTCGCGGAGGACTTTCTAAGAGAAGCTGGCTTGCATTTACGTTACACAAAAACCGTGAATCCAACTATTTAGCCGGGATTCAAACCCAAGCGAGCTACAAGTGTTCAGCCACCTTTACCGCTCTACTGAAGAGCCCGTAAAAATATTGATAAAGGAAAAGTATTGAAATAACCGGTTTAATTTACTAACCTATATTTCTCAATCGACAGTACATAAATTACGCATATGAGGGGATTATTTGTGAATAAATAAACTGTATTGCACTTTTCTCCACTATTTCATATTACGATGGAATTATTGCATTTCAAAGTTATTTCTCATGAATTAATTTTGCTCCGTTCATGATTTTTTATATTTTCAAAGAGAAAATTTCACACTTTAAATAAAAAAATACACGAGAAGATACTTTATGCAAAATTTGGCGTAAACGGTTTTCTTAATTTTGCTTTGAAAATATTCCAGGGTAATCGTTTTCATTACTGGAAGAAATATGAAAAACAGATTTACTACATTGTGTCAACACCCAGTATGTCCTTATTCTTTTGAAAACGTGAAAGATTACTCTTTCTAAAATAAATTAGAAAATATATTATGTGCAAATAGAATATTCGTTGAAAATGAAATAGACTTCAAACTTTGGATATAACGATGGTTTTAGATGAAATTTCTACCTATGAAAAGAAATTGACGTATAATTAATTCTTCATGAACATTTAAAACTGTTCTCAAAATTCTTTTGATGATTGCATGTATAGGTCACGGATTTTTTTCTCTGCTAACATAAACAAAAGCCAATTTTACAAAAAAAAAAAAAAAAAAATTCTCGTTAAAGATATACCTCCTTTGCCTGATAGTCCAATGTAATATTTGTTAAAGTTAAATGATTAAACGCAACCAATGTATCTCGGATTTTGATTTTTTTATATTATAATAACAAAATTATAAAAAAAGCAGATTTAAATCTCTGTTATTGTTATGTAAAGCTTTATTATTGCTGTAAGTTCATCTCAAAATCTAATTGTATTGAATCTCATTCTAATCATCTAATGGTAATAAATATTATTATTATTATTTCATTAAATTAGTCATTACCATTATTTTGTTAATGAAAATATGTTATTAAAAATCGCATTCCAGCCTGCAGACTTACAAAGCTAGTCCGTATTTACTATATTTTGTTAAATTTTGTTCTCGTTTTCTAATTTCTAATACGAAAATACGCGAATATAAATGAAGAGTGAAAACAAAGTTAAAAAATTCACAAATTATTTACGAGATTGATCAGAAATAGTGAGTGAAATATAAACATTGCATACATTTTGTTCTAAATAAATTGTGCACTGGATATGCATGTACTGCAGTACTGCATCCAGTACTGCATGTTTATTTAGAACTTCATTTAAATGAAAGCAAAATAATCATTGAAAAAATTGCAAATCTAGCAACCCCTCTACTATGGGACGTAAGCGTCCGACAAACATGTAAATTTTACTTCATCCATGGAGGGGGACTAACGACTTTTCTCATTAGGAAAATGTCAAAGAGGGGGCAAAACTGTTTCGGATCGCGCCGGTCTGAAGGCTATATTATGAGAATTTCGGCCCGGTTTTAGAAGGTTAACTTTCTAGGCCATCTAAAATCATAGAACTAAATATGTATTTCTGCAGATATAGTTTAAAAAAAACTTTGTGCGGCAGGCGCAGATAATCTGCTCCGCGGATAATCGGGAGTCTACTGTATATGTGAATTTTTTTTAAAGAAATATTTAATGTGGCTGTGACATTCTAACACACAATATTAACATAGTGATTAGTGAGAAAAAAGAAATAAAATTAAAATTAGTTTAAAAACTATGTATAGGTTATAACTATGTATAATTACAGTCAACATAAGCAGGTACCAAACAAAAACTAGCAGATGAATAGCTAGTTTCGCATGCTGCCATCCCGCACTCTCTCCTTTTTTGAATGAAAGGCCAGGGCTAACCATGGTTGCTGCTCACAAGGGAAATAGTTTTGAAAGTGGTCAGCTATTAACTGATTTTATGTTCACAGTAAGTACCTAAATTCCTCTAATGCCATGCCCAAAATAACACATCTGTCATTAATTCACTGTCCTTCTATTAGATGATCTCTTTTTTTCAAGGCTTCCTGCATACCTACCTTATCACTGAACACTGATAGTTCTGACCTGGGTTCAGTTCAGGCAAATGGGCTGGCTGCATGGGCATTTTCATGGTTTTCCTTATGTGTAACATGTTTATGAGCCAGTTTCCTGTAGAAAGTCCTCCACGAAAGCATAACAACCAGCTAAATCTAAATTTAATGTGTCTGTGCATTTGATAATTTTATTTATTATTATGTTACATTTTTCATCACTTCTTTACTAAAAAGTACTCAAGGGTACTTTTTGTATGAATGCCCTGTATGATATTCAGTGCACTCAAGTATAATAATCTGATATATATATTTAAGTTTTGTATACCAGTGCATTTAATGAGTCATAAATGCACAAGAAAATTATTTATTTTGTAGTTCTAAGAAATTAAAGTTTCTTTTATTTTGAATTCATATGTTTAGAATTTGTATTATGTTTTTATGGTTTGTATTTAGGAATATATTCATTAAATTGTATTATCTGTTTTTATTCAAGCTTACAATGTTTTTATTGTGAGAAGATTTTCAAACATTGGCTAACATTAAAGGAACACATGAGGAAGAAACAACATAAAAGAATTAATCCAAAGAATAAGAATTTTGATAAATTCTATGTTATAAACTATTTGGTAGGTATTAAGAAACAAATGCATTATATCAAGCAGACTTTGGTATTACCATAGTTAAAATAAAGGAAAAACAACTTATTCTTATAGGAATATGGCAAAACATGGACTGATGTGCAGAATGAAACTGATGATGGATCACAAGAAGAAAGTGACGATAAAGAAATGTATATAATTGTTAAATATTTTCATTATATTTTATTAATTCTTTTTTACCTTTTTCATCAAAGATGTTATATTACATAAATATTGTTATGTTGTTAATGCATTTGAAATAGTAAATATAAATATTTCAGGCATCCAGTTTTAAAGTTTTATATACTTTCAGATATGTTGTATGATTGTCACATATTAAAAACTGTTAGGCTATGATCTTTAGGATATAGCTCTTTTTGTTCTGTACAGTGTCCAAAAAGATCTGTTTTAAATGTGCATGACTATTAGGTGCTTTTCTCTTCATTTAAATTTTAAGAACTGTTTTATTGCAGCAATTAAAATTCTAATTGCAATAGTCTTTTTGTGACTTTGTGAATTTTTTATTTTCCATGTATAATTTATTTTACCCTTAATTTTTTTTAAATCACTCTCATGTTTTATAAAATTATTTGGTTATTTGCATTAAAAGTATCTGAATATTAAGTGAGAGTTCACATGGTTGCTATTGCTGTGTTTCAAAAATCAGAATTTTTTACGTATTACTTTTCTTTTCCGATATATTGCAAGCAGTTAAATAATTAAAATATTACCGATCAACATAGTTCCTAATTAGTTCACTGTACTTATACCAATGCTTAACAAGCATATAGATATCATGTGAAGTATTTCCTTTCTGATGGGATGCTGCCACTCATGTGACGGGAAATGTGAGAAATCGGCAATGCCCTTCCTTGATTTGAACTAAGGACTTCCCATTTGCTAGCCAGATGTGGCTTACATTCATGGTGTATTTAGTTATATGTACTTTTCAATTACACTACAAAGGTGCACTATAATTATGGAGAAAATACCTTAGAAATTTCACTCGGATGTATACCAACTCTCGTCTCCATTCATGATATGCTGCAAAAATGCTTTACCATTAATTTCATACTGATAAAGAAGCTCTTAGAAAGAGTTGATGTGCCCTCAATTTCAAGTAGATGATGGATGTCCATGCACATCTATCTTACACTGTTATGCCAATCATTAGCTTGCAGTGGGTAATGTTATGGACTTCTCCGATATTAATGTAAAATAGTGATGCTGCTTTCTGTATTATGATATGCCTATTCTCCTGTATTAGCTTCTTCACAACTGTAAAGTTATTTTCATAACTGCTGAAGTGTGATGAATAGAGTCCTCCATATTAATGGCATTGGTCTTTTTTTCAGTCCATTCAAACACCATGCGTATAATTTATATACCATCACTGTACTGAGTTCTCACTTAGATAATCTATGTAAGTTTTACCCCTTCATTTAAAGTCTCGCAATACTTCACTATTCTTGCTTTAAGCATGGTTGCAAGAGTGCATTGTGTTAAATTGTTTCTCTCATGTTCTTGTACATGCTCGTAGGCTTACTAACACCATATGGCTTGTTTGAGGTCATGCATAACTGTAAACAACATTTTTTGTTTCGTAATGCTGAGCTAGTAGAACATACCTTTCCTACTAATCCAAATATTTTAATTTTTTAGTGTAATTTATATAATTGGGGGATGTAGCTGAAGAAAATACAGATAGGATATAAAATAAAAAGTAGTAATAATTCGTAATGGAAGAGTTTAAATGTCATGATTTAATAGTAATTGCCGTAATCATAAATGAGAAAATGCATGAAACTAGTTAAGCTTAATATTTGAATCTAAAAATGATATTAGTTTTTAACAAAATTTTTGGTTTTTAATATAAAAATATAAATACCATTTTTACACTTTGTTTTCCTGAATTACAACAAATATTTTTACATAGTATCAAAGACTTTATTGCAGTTTTACAAAATCAGTATATCAAATATGTAATTTCAGATTATTGTAATTCAGGGTTTAATATAATGCTTATTTCATTTTATATAAGTAGTATTTCTTCAAATTTCTTAAAATTAATTTCATTTTCTTGCAGAGAACTCATGGATTGTGAAGTTGAAAATCTAGCATTTGTATGCTTGTTTTGTGACAACAATATCTTAGATTTCGAAGAAACCTTAAATCATATGAAGGTTTGTCAAAGTTTATGGTGTTTCAAATAATTGAGAATTCATTTAAAATTAGTATATTATTATACTCTATCAATATCAAATGAATGCTTGACTATTTGTTTATTTGATAAATTATTTAATTTTATCCTGTATGTTTCACAGTTAGTAAACATGATCTTAAAATTTAAGGATCCTGAATTGTTAGCCCAAAGTTGCATTAGACCCAAAGGGCTATTAGTCTCAAAACAGCATTTTACATCGATTCACTTTTCAAACTATTGCCACCAAATATTATCACCATGTATTATATTTAAAGAAACTAAATAATGAAGAATCTGCTTGAATGTGTGAATGTTTTTCACAGTGTGAATAAACAACTGTTACCTAGAGCTACCCAGTTTTGTGTAACATAGTCCTCCAACCGAACATGGGGACTTGGAAGCCAATTTTGAATTTCAAATCTGTTTTATTATTTATTTCAAATTTTGTAAAACTTTAACAAATGTTTTATTATCAAACTCAATTATTTCAAAGCGAACAATGGAAACACTGTAGGGGGGGATTTTTTTTGTCTCCAGTACGTGAGACTGTGTATTGAAAATTCTAAAGATATGTTGTTTTTAAATATTTTGTGATATTGCTTTTGAATTGAATTTTATGTGGTTCAGGTGCAAAGAGCATGATATTTAATAAATAGAGTTAACACACAAAACATTAGAAAAAAGCCCTTTTGGGAGTAGTGTAAAATTTGAAACCTTTCAGTTTTTTTTTTTAATTTAATTTTATTTATATTTACTGCTATGTATATAATATATATTCTTTTTATTAATCAGAGGAAAGTAAATGCAAGATTTATTTTTTTGCTTATGTGGTGAGAATGGAAATCTTCAATACTTGCTGAATATTACAACTAAAAATTGTATTTCCTTAACTCTTTTATTAATTGTTCTTCCTAATACTTTGGAAAATGTTACCCATCATCTAAATTTTCTAGTAACTGGAAACCAAATTCTTGATTTAATCTCTATGGTATTATCGTATGACTCTGGTGTCATTGTCTTTCTTAATTATCTCTTGCTTAAGATGCTTAAAGATGCTGTGAATGTGAAGAAAACAAAAGTTTGGTTCCAGATGTGAAAATTTAGTACTGCCACTTGAACTCACCATATTACTTAATACCCCTATTCTCTTATGTGTGATATACCTCCTGAAAAAAGGTTAAACAAGTATGTAAAAGAATGTAGTGTACATATAAAAATAGTAGATTGACTGCAAATATAAAAACTCATTACAAATAATAATGCTTCTTCAAACTAATCATATTAAAATGACTATATAAAATAAATTGGCCTGCATAAAGATTCATGTACTTTGCCATAATCAATTAACCAATTAATTTCCTATTATTACTTTTAATAGATAAAAAGATAAATATATTTTTCTGCTTTCACACAGTTCAGATTTTTGACATTGTAATAAGGCTTTTGAAACATATTTGAATTGAAGTTACTCAGGTGGTAAAAAATAAAAATGTGCAATTTTTCGTCGCTTGCTGAATTTTTTTTAAGTACCAGATCATTATGTTAATAAACTTTAATTAAAATTCATTAAATTTTAAACACGAAATGTCAAATAGTAGTTGTATCTTAAAAAAAAAAAAAAAAAAAAGGAACTCAGTGTTGCCATTTTACATTTTTGAAATTAAAATTACCTTGAGAAATCTTACCATAAAGGTGGTATCTTTGGTAAAAATGCACATTTTTCCTGAAGCGGAATATGTTTTCAGAAATAAATTCAAATAAAGATTTTTAAAGGGGGCTGTTTGATTAATATTAAAATGAGTCATATAAAAAATTAAATGGATTTTTTTCATAACCTTGTTAAATTAAAGTTTTATTTAAAAAGTTATCTAAAATCAGAAATATGTGCATATTTTGACTATATAATTGTTACCAATAGCACTTGGGAATTTCAACTTATTATCCAGAATTTTCTATTCACGTGTATATTTGTGCAAATATGCACAAGTACACATAAGAAACGTGCATACACATTTTTCTTTTACTTCCTTGCTTGTTATTTTAAAACAAAAAGTATTATTCATTTTTTAACATGATATATTATACTAGGCATCCCACATAAAGGCAGCCTACCTGATTTGCATGAAAGCAAATTAATCTAATGGCAGTTTAAAAAAAAAAGAGGGAGGAGAAATAACTCTTATTATGAAGTCTGTCAGAAAAATTCTGTCTGTGTTGGAAATGAAAGAAAATAATACATTCTTTATACCTTTCATTCTACTGTGAAATTTAGTGTTACTTATGACTTTTTTGCCAGGGTGAAAGTAAATTGTAGATACCATTTTTGAAAAATGTCTTGTCGTTAGAGGTGAAGAACTCAAATAGTTCTTGGTTGGCATCTGATTCAGTTTTAAATTTATCCCTTCAAAAAATTTTGTGTGGAGAGAAACAAGTCATAATCAAAGTGTGCTAGGTTGGGGGAGCACGTTGGACACGGCAGAATTTCCTGACCTGGCTCTGGGATTTTCTGACAAGTCACCAAAGGAACATGTCATCTGGCATTATCTGATGCAGTGTGATATACTTCCTCTTTAAAACCTATTCATTTTCTTTGAATGCTTTGTTTAAATCATGCATTTACTGACAGTTTCTCTCCAAACTGAGCTTCTTTTTAGCCTTCTAGAGTTTGTAATGTATTGGTCATTGGATGTCCCACCATATATGAAGCATCTTATTCAGGCTCAAACTGGGTTTACAGGTGAAGGGGACAGGTTGACTCGGCCCACAGTATACTCTTTTCATAACTCTATTGTAGTAGGTAATCCAAACGGTTTCGCCAGTTATTACCTGATCCAAAAACTATTCATTTTTATTCCAAGCATAGGTGTGCATAAGATGACTTGATCATACAAATTTTTCTCATTTTACTAATGAGGCACCCATTTGGAATATTTATAAGCCTTCAGAATATGGTCTGAAATTGTCTCTTGTGCTGATTTTAAGTTTTTCCACAATTTACAGTATTGTCAAAGAAGGATTTTGCTCTATAATGGTCTTCACAATGTCATCATCGATCAAAGATAGTCACCCGGTCTGCTTATCATTAAGTCGAACTGATTTGCTTCAAATTTTTCTAACCATCTTCTGCACGTTCCGTCCAAAACTGCACTTCCACCAAAAATTGTCTCTAAATTTCAACATGCTTCTGTTGCATTTATTCCTTGTTCAAACTCATACAAAGTACAGTGTTGTAAAGGAACCGTATCGGTAGCCATGTTTACATGATTGCATCTCAATAATGACATAAGACACATTTTTATTTTTATCAAATACCTGGCCATTGACCATCAGGTCATTAGACAACAAGCTCTGCAATACTGTTCAAACTGTTAAGTGCAGAGTACAAGTCTAGATGAGCAGCATCCATGACTTGTTCAAAGTCACACAAAGCACATAAAGGAGAGGCAGTCAGATTAAAATGAAACAAATGAGCACCAAGGCAGTCATGCCCAGTCAGTAGTCTAAACTCAGCCACTGCTGTAGCACGAGGAGAGTCTGAGACACAGTCGGCTTTTAATAGCACCCTCCGTGACTTATTTTCAGTAGCACTAACAGCAGCATTACGAAAGGATTTTTTATAAACCCTGTTAATTTCAAGTTTACAGAATGAAGAGATAGGTCTCTGGAACACCATTAGAGAATGTCTGTACCCTTTTTTGCCAAAAGGTCTGCCATCTCATTTCTCCATAGGCCACAATGTGATGGCACTCACTGGAAAGCTGTCTGAATTCTGCTCAACTGCTCCCTGCAGCTCTGGACACAAACACGTTGTTTTCCTAGGTTACTTGCTAAGGCTTGAAGAGCAGAACTTGAGTCAGATAAAATTACAGCCTTATCAAGAGGAGTGAGATGGGCAGAAAGCTGTTGAAGGGCTAAGTGGTGGGCCTCGACTTCACCATTCAAAATGGGTTGTAATGAGAGCCAGCATGTAGGTAAAAGGAAAACAGATCACAGAAGATGCCATCACCAGTGGCTTGGGTGAAATCCAAAAAGGAACCATCAGTGTAAATATGAAGCCACTCACCAGGAGAATAGCAACTATTAATGATTTCCAAAGAGATGGCACAACGAGCAGTTGTGCATAAGTCATTTTTCCTCACATTCAAAGACAAGTCCAATCTGACATTGAGAACTATAAGCTCCAGTGGATTTATATGAGTTAACAATTCGTAGGCCTTGTTGTTAATGGCATTGTATTGAGTGTTCTCCTGGACGCATTGAATGAAGCCCTTCTGAGTCTTTAGATTGTGTACTCTGTTACAATTGTAATCATGCCAAAAAGAAATATTTGGGAGTCTATTATAAAGAACCAGGTTAGTCATTGGCTGTAAGTCACAAAGCAAATGCTTAGCAAGTACGGGAGTAATTTTAACACCTCCAGTGATCAAACACAAAGCCTGGTTTTGGAAAATATATCAAGCATACCAAAGACTATCCGAGGTAGAGACCAGCACTTCATTGCAATAATATAAAGCTGGCTGGACATAAGTCTTATAAATAGTGTTAAGGGTAGCTCTGCCACATCCCCATTTAGCACCAACTAATCTTTTAAGAATTGAGAGTCTCTTCCTGGCTTTTGAGATGAGGTATTCAAAATGCTTAGTCCATTTCAATTTGTTATCAAAGATGCAACCCAGATAAGTTGAAACATCATTATGCTGCAAGGGAGAACCTCTGTAAACAAGATCAGAAGTGAAAAGCTGTCTATTTAAAGTAAAATACTGACTAGTAGTTTTCCCAAAGTTTATAGTCATATTATTCTCAAAACTCCAGCTCTGCAGCTTCTCAAGAGACTTCAGAACAGTATTTAGCTTGTATTGATCACCTTTAGTTGCATAGCACCAAATAGCAAGATCATCTGCAAAAAGGGCAGCATTAGGCAATCCATCAGAAGTCAAGATACTCAGTAGGTCATCAATAAAAATATTAAATAAAATGGGTCTGATCACCATGCTCTGTTGTAAGCCAGTTTCACTCTGTTTAAAGTTGGGCACAGAATCACCAAAACAAGTGGTGCAGAAATGTTCTGAAAGAAACCTCCTGATCCAAGAAAGCATGTTACTGCATACACCCAGGTTTTGTAATTTCTGGATACATTTGAGTTGTGAAACTTTATCAAAAGCAGCTTCAAAGTCCACAAACACAACCAAAACAGAGCATCTCTGATCCAGAGCCTCCTTTATGGACTGACCCAGCAAGATAACTTAATGGTTTGTGGACATCAATTTTCTAAATCCGTCCTGAGTTAGAGATATAAAGTTATTAGACTCAAAAAACTAACTCAGATGAGATGCAATCTTTCTTTCCATGACCTTGAATAAAATGCTAGTTAAAAAAATGGGTCAATAATTATTTAAATTATCCAGAAGTTTATTACTTTTAAGTATAGGAACGATGATCGCCTCATTCCAAATCACTGGAACACCAGTGTGCCAATTATAGTTGTAGAGCTCCAATAATACAGAGAATGCATTTCTCCCAAAGTGCCTCAGGAAATCAGGGTGGAAATTATCTGGACCAGGGCTTTTGCCACTCCTGACACGTCTGATAGCTTCTATAAGTTCTGCCTTATTAAAGTCTTGATAAAAAATCTTGTGTCCGCAATTTAGGGAAAAGGCAGAGTGACAAAGTTCCTGTCTAATAAATCTCTGTTGGGTATTGAGGTCTCTCCTCAACCGTTGTTTAGAAGAATTAAAAGTGTTGGAAATATCTCTGTCATCAGTTAAAACGCAACTACCAATTTTCAGTGGCTCTCTAGTAGATGCAATCTTTTTATTCTGTAATTTGCTCACATAATTGTAAACTCTTTTGCCATTCTTCCTATAGTCAGTTTTAGAAACAAAATCATTGAAACAGTTTCTTTTAGCAGAAAGAATTTCCTTTCGAAGGATTCTAAAGAATTGAATGTCCTCAGGACTCCTGAATGTTCAGCAGCAGTACGAGCCATAGAAGATTTTTCTTTAAGAATGGCAAGACTTTCATTCCAGAAAGGTTTGTAGATAAATTGCTTGCCTCTCGGTATCCACTTTTATGCAATATCAAAAACAATATTAGTAAATCTAGAAAAGGCACAATCAATATTCTCTCCTGCTTCACAGAAACTAGAAGTAGATCCAAAAATAGATTCAAGATCTACAGTAAAGGCATTCCAATTAGCTTTAGTAAAATTCCATCTGTGTCTAACGGAATTCCTTTGTAATTTCTTAGTGGTAAAATTGAGTAACAATTATGTGATGTTAAGAGCCAGGATCATAAATTACTTCTATCTCAGCAACATTGGAAATGTCTGCAGAAGCTAAAGTGAAGTCTGGATTGATCCCACTCCCTAGGTTGGGACGTCTGAATCATTATACAGAGGCTCCAGTTTATCAGAATGCAAAAGATCTTCCATCATCAATCCAGCAAAATTTGTGTCTTTATAATCCCAGAGTTGACTATTGGCATTAAAATTGTCACAAAGAATTATTTTACTGGAGAGAGTCAAGAAGCTGAAGTCAAGTTTGGTGTTACTGGATGGACTGTAGCAATCATAAATTTTAAAATGTTTCTTCCATTTCCGCACATTTCAGCTCCATTGTATGAGGAGAAATTACTAACTTCATGAAAATCAGAAATCAGGCTATTCTTTACACCAACCAAAATACCACTAACGATTCTTTTCCAATTTGGGAAGAATTCTAAGATAATAAGGTCAAAAGTGTGGTATTTCAGTGATTCATTCGACAAATTAGCCTCAACAATAATAAAAACATCTATATCACAAGAGTTTAGAATAGTCAGCAATTGATTCTTTTTCCATGAGAAATGCCACCAGCATTCCACTAGAGAACTCTCAGTCATTGCAAATCCTTAGAAGGATGGTTGGTACTAAAGTTCGATTGCATCACAAAAGAAGATTCGAGGAGAGCAGTAGTCACAATAGCAGATTTTGCGTTACCTAGGATTAACCACGTGGAGGCCTGCTACATTACATCCCAACACATAAAACACACTTGTTTCATTTAATTTAGAAGAACAGCTGTTTATAAATGCAGTAATAAAGACAGCTGTATATATTTGAAATGAGCACCTGCATTCATGTTGAAACTTATAATGACTTTATCAGACACTCCAATAAGCAGGAATATATAGTTAGCAAAAGTATATGGTTAACAATTTACATGTATCTTTAAGCAGTTCTATTTGGAGAATAAATTTATTTGATTATGAAAAATTAAATCAACATGTAAAACAAAGAACTTACTTTAAAAACAAAAACAAAAGAACAATATGTTTATGGTATTGCTCATGCATTTGTTAATGAGAAACATAGATTACTGACTATACGCTTAATGTATTTTTATGATTGAGCAATTTATTTTTAATGTGTGATTTTGCTATTTATATATTACAGATTATATAATGTGTAAATAAATTATGTACTGTTATGGATAAAAGCAACCCCTAAACACTCACCATATTTATCTAAATTTCATATGACTTACTTATTTTTTCACTATTTTCTGACTGTTTGTGAAACACTTCTTCAACATTGATGTGGAGCTGAAAATGTGGCTTGATGAATTCTAAGAGTAATATTTTTCCCTCAAGACTTATTATTACTAAAACAAACCAAAAAAAGAAAGAAAAGCCATGTTTATTTTATTATTTATTTACTTTGCTATGAATTTGATGTTAAGTTTTGCTTGATTTTAAGTATGGGTAATGTGTGCAAATGTGCTTCATTTATTAGTTTGCTGAAAATTTCATTGATGCAGTAATATTTTTAGTTCATTTCCTCGTCAAGAGGTTGATTTTATAGCTTGACTTGTAAGTAATATCAGTTGATATAATTGAGGTCAGAAAAGTAATAATATATCTATAACTTTGAGATTTGTAAGGATTTTTCTTTGTTTGGGATTTGAGCCAACAAGTTATGTCTGATAACATATACAGTACAAAGTCCTTAATCCAGACTCATTGGGACTTCAGCGATTCTGGATTATAGATCATCAATTTAAATCTGGTAAGATGGCATGCAGAAATTATACAATTAAAAATATGAAACTGTAATTTATGAAATAAAGAGCAATTATGATCTAAAGGGTATCATAATTTACAAAAAAAAACTTAATATTTATTTATTTACTTTATTAAACATTTCTTTCAATGTAAGTTGTTTAAGTTGCTTCGTTTTTTGTGCTAATACCTTCTCTTTAATTCTATAAACTATAATTTCTATAATATTAACTATAATTCTATAATTTCTTGTTCAGTTACACTGTTGTTCCACTGTTGAAGTCCTGTAATTGATGTGTCGAGAATACCAACTTGTCAATCGCAATTTTATCATTTTCAGTAACCTCTCTCACTTTCTTCACTATCGGAAGCGCACATGGGTAAACACTTTACGCGCATGCGTAAATTTGTGGCTTTGAAGTCCAGATTATAGATCATTCCGGATAATGGACGTCCGGACATTGTACTGTATAAGATTTACAAACATTGCTCAGACAACTTGCATAAAATTTCAACAACTCGCATAAAAAATCACAGAATGGAAGCATGAATTTATAAACCTTGCTTTTGTAAGGAGCTATTGTTTAAATCTTGTTGTTAGTCTTTCATCTACACATGAACATGTTTATCTTTGGACTTACAACTGCATTTGTATCATTATTATTTTATAATTTACAGAAAAACCACAATTTTGACTTCTTGCTGTTGAAAGAAAAATATCACTTGAACTTTTATGCTCAAATAAAATTAATTAACTACATAAGGAGAAAAGTGAGTAATTTTATTTTCTACTATTGATAATAAGCACATTATCTTTGGTACTATCTTATTATCTTTGGTAAATTGCAAAATTGATATTTTTTTTTCAGTATTGTGTATTTAGTGTCTGTTCATCTTGTCAACTACATAACTTTATCTCTATAAATTTTACAAATACTGGATGCTTTCAGTATATTACTGTGTAACATAATCTGAAGATAATTTTCTTCTTCCCTTTCCTTCATGGGCATTGCTATTGTGTAGCACATGTAAATTGCTTTATTAAAAAATTAATCTTATAGTTGATAAAGTAACAAATATGTTTAGTTATTATTAGTAATGAAATGTAAATTTAGTGCGATTCCGTTTTATTAATGAAAGAATATACAAAATAACTATTTTTAAATGGAAATTTTTATTTTATGTTTAATATTGTGTTCTTCAAGGTAAAATGGAATCTTAACTTCCATCTGTAAATTATATAAAGGGGGGGAATGAATTTTATATTTTCAAAAGCCCATAAACAATTATTATGTTCAGCATGCCTTGGATAGTTGTTTAAGATCTTATAGTGATAAGAGCATTATATAAGTAGTATTTGTATTTATGCTCTTATCCATTACATGCTACATAGTGTATTTAAAAATTTTTTGGAAGGAGACAAAATCATACAGAATCATATCTGAAGACCTGAAATCTTGTGTGAAATCAGATGGCCATTTCTTGAGCTTTTACTAATCCACCGATGAAGAATAGTTATATTCAGATAATGTTCTGAACATAAGTGAATGCATGAATATAATCTTTCCCTTTGATGTGTGATACAGTTGAAAAAAACTGCAGACTGGAACTTCTGCAGACTATTTATATCAGAAATTAATGTTAAAAACATACTTCTATCCAAGCATGTTCCTAGATTTTTTTTATTACTTTCTTCTATTTATATGGGATGATACAAAAAAATATTTACAAAATGATGTGGCAAATCAGGCATACAACAAGGATTAAAAATAACATGGGGTCGCGAATGCTATGCGGAGCCACTAGACGGCATTTAAAATAGTACATAATATAAAGATGAAAAACAAAATCGTCTCATCATTTATTTATATTAGTCACATGTTACAAATGTATGACCACTACAGGAGATGTTCAGATTTTTTTCTAGATGCATTGAGACATGCCTAAGACATACCTAAGATAAAGTGTGCCGTTGCTTTAAATGGCACACCTTCTCAAATATACCTGGTATATCACCAACAATTCTTCCTACTAAGTCTTCTGACAATGATACAGGTGTCTCATTAAGTTCTTTTAAAAAAAACTCCTGAAGAAAAAATCAGTTGGAGACAGATCTGGTGATCAAGGTGGCCATGCAGTTGATCCACTGCAACCAATCCAATGCCTGGAAAAAGTTTCCTGCAGATGTGTTTTGATTTGTCTGCTGAAACGTGCAGAGCTCCAACTGTCCTAAAATCAAATGCATTGACAAATAGGCATACGAACATCATTTAGCATGTCTGGCAGAACCTCTTGCAAGAATGCAACCATTAAGTCTTCCTGAGAGAATATATGAACCAAGTAAACAGTTTCCTAAAATGCCAGCCCACACATTGAGAGAAATTTGTGTTGTGAGGCATGCATACACATAGCATATGGTTTTCCATCCACCCAAGTATGCAAGTTACGAACATTCATCGCATGCTCTACTAAGAACGTATCCTCATAGTGAAAAGAAAATTTGCTGTGAAGTTCCAGTCTGCAGTATTTTCTTGCAAAAACTACCATGCAAATTTCATGCATTTGTTATAGTCTTCCAGTTGCAATGCCTAAACGTGTTGTGAATGAAAAGGATGCAGTCCTTCGGCGTGTAAAAAGCGACAGACAGTAGGTTGGAGGATATGGATGTCCCAGGATACAACTTGTATACGTGTTGAAGGATTATGCTGCAGTTTTCGAGAATGCTTTATTCTGAAAAAACTGTCCAAGTTGTTTCTTGGCGACCAACATTTGGCTTGTGCATGTCAATTGAGCTCGTTTCGCACAGTCGTTGTGCATAGTGGCAAGGCATCTTTCTGTCAGGGTATTTCTTGCAATATATTCTCATGGCTTCTCCTCTATTGCAGTTGGCCATGCCACATAAATCAAATGAATGTCAGCCATTTTCTGGTACATGTAATTAGCCATGTTACTCTCAACACATCCACAGCTTGAATGAAGACAACCTCCATTTGCTCAGCATGTGTTTGTATAACAATGCCCTCTTATGGCTATAGCAACCTCTAGTGGATGCAACCCTATGTAACCTAAGTGAGTTTTTATCTTTGTTGTATGTCTGATTTGCTATGTTATTTTGTAATTTTCTTTTAATCACACCATGTATTGCATAGGGGAATAAGTATACTCCTTTATTTTTTTGTCATATATTACATTTCCATGCAATTTGATAATTATGAATAAGCCATGTGTTATTGTCTGTGTGAAATGCTCTAAAGAAATACACTTTTCTTCAATAAAAAAAAAAGAAAGAAAGAAAAGAAAAGATTTTTTTTTTTTTTTTTTTTTTTTTTTTTTTTTTTAAGGTTTATGAAAAAGAATGCATCAATTGTGATCTGAAGTTTAACTTTCACAATGAGTTATTGAAACATATGGTGGAAAGCGGCCATATATCCATTCTTCCAGATCCTGCTAAGTGGAATCAGCCATTGTAAGTATTTGTATCTTAATATATATGTAAGATAAAATTATATGAATCAGAATTATAATATAACTATAAGTATAAACATTAATTCTTCCTCTATTCTAAAATCGTAATAACTTCTCTGCATTGCGTCATTCAAATTAATCATGCGATCTTACGTAACCGTTAATACCAGATGCCTCTTGGCGACCAATCACCGAATTGTAAACCAAAACTTTTCTCTTCGCATGCTTCCATCTTTCATAACTACGCACTTCAGCTTTTGCTCTCTACTGTGCTGAGATGTAATATCGCTGGCTTGCTTTCTATCTCAACAATATCAAAAATGTAAATCTTCTGTGGAAAGACACGACTAGTGCCAAGTGATCTGTGGCCACATATGTCCATTGGAAATAAAAATGGAATTAAAACTGCCTCGACTGCCAAGTTCTTTAAATACTACGCAATCAAAATTCTTCTTCAATATGGATCTAAGCACGCATCTACAGTGTTCCGTCATTTCCTTTGCTTTTATTATAACATATATATATTGTAATTTTATAGTTGTAATAAAGCTTAGTGTTATAATCTAAATTGATAAAAGCAAACACTGCATTAAGTAAATATTTGCATTCCAAATACTTTTTGATGCAATCAACCAGCAATTTAGCAAATTTCATAGTGGAAAAGATCCAAATAAAAATTTACGTTTGAAATTAATATTATCGTGCATATTTAGGAAACGTGTATACTGCATATTTTAGCAGCAGAGTAACACATGTGGGATTGTGATTTCCATGGTGTTGCTGCTGTAATTATAAAGCATATTAGGAATGTTTCTGTCTGTAATGGAATCTAGAAAGGGCTAAGGATCGGTTGAAAATACCTTTTTTGATTAGGGTGGAAGTGCAAATAAGAACTAAATGCATTTGATTGCAATATGAATAAACTAAATGCATTGTGGAGGTACAAAATAATGCTTAATAAAAAATAAAAAAATAAATAAATAAAAAAAAAAATAAACCTTATCTAGTAAAACTCTTACTACAATCTTTTGAACTGAAAAATAATATATTTTTCATTATCTCCCTACATTGAGAAAAGGCTTTAAGTTTCATTCATTTTGTTTTCTCAGCTTTTTAATAGTCAAGTTTATAATAGTATGTCTTTCAGAAATTGTTTATTTCAAAATACATTTAGTTACTATTTTAAATTAATTCAAGTAAAGTGGTGCTTTGTAATAATTTTTTACGATCTTGAAAATTGTCATAATTATGCCTGCTCATTTTTGCAAGGTTTATAAATTTAATTCATTGATATTTTATATTGGAATATATAATATAATGTGTTATTTTTTAAAGAATGTATTGCAATATTTATGATAAAATTTGTAGCTATTTCCTTCAGTGTATCAAGTTATAAATGTTAAGTTGTAAAGTTGTTTGATCATTTGTCATTTCATGTTTCCTATCCAGAATTTAGATTTTAATGACTTGCGTACATTTTATTTAGGTATTATTTTTCAACATTTGAAAATGACAATTTGCTGTGTGCACTTGATGATGATGATGATAATTCTGAATGTCAGGAAGAGCATTTAGTTTATCCAGAAGAAACTGTCATGCCATCTTCAACTTTGCTTTATGATGAGAATTTTAGAAAGAATCTTATATAAGTAAAAAAAATTTCTTAGTGATGTAATATATTTAAACTAATTTTTATGTTATAATTAAAAGCAAGCTGTATACATAATGTCTGTTATTTATTTATATATATAAACTGTTTTAATAAAATTGTATTTTTTGTTTTATGCCTGTGCTTCATGTATGAAAGTCACATGTGTTCTTTTCTTTTAAATTTGGTTTTCTGCATTTTTGAATAGGGATTAATTCTTTTAATTTATGTTATTTAAGTTTTGAGGTATGTCCTGTTATAGACAGAAGCAATTTCAATTTTCAATCTAGATTGATCTTACATTTATTTGAGTACAAATTTCAACAAAGAGAGGCTGCACAAGCTTAAAATACACTATTAGTTTATCTTCTAGCCTATTAAATATTTCAGACTTCTCTCCTAATAAACTAATTTTTCTATAGCTAGGGCAATTTTGCATTAGTTCCATTATAAAGCAATGCAAAAATAGATAAAGCCGAATTGTTTTTATTACTATTAAAGGATGTTTATGTACCGAACTGTGTAATATATGACATTAGAAATATCTTTTACTAATCAGAGTTATGCTGCAAATGTTCATAATTGCACTAGTTTGTAATCTTTTTGCCACGTGGAAGAAAATCAGTAACTTGAATCAATTTTTATATTCTATTAAAAAGTTTGAATAACCAAGTTTTTCTTTTTGTGATAAAACATTTAAACACCTTCCGCAGTGCAGTAATGATAGCAAAAATTAAATATATTTACACAATTGCTTCACATCCATGCAATGAATAATCATCAAGAAATGAATTGTAATTTGTTTTATTTATAATGAAACATGCTTTCAGATGATGAATAAAAAATTTCGTAGCCTGGTATAGTGTAGAAGAAAATTCCATGGAATTTCCAAACAAAAGTCTGTTTTCAGGACTTTTGTTTTCGTTGCTAAAGAAGCTATGCACCCTCAGATTTCAAACTGCATTCAAAAACTATATTGTTTTTCCATTAGTAAACATATAAAGTTTCATACACACTGAGGGTCAGAAAATATGTATCCAAGAGGGAAAAAGGGGCATTTTGTTTTGAAAGGTATAGTTGGGAACACAACTCTTTAGTATTTAAATATAAATTATTATTTGTGTATATGTATGTAAGGTATAAAATATGAAAGAAAATTACTAACTGAATTGGCAATAGCCCTTGCAGTGAACAGAATCTGTGCCCATTCTTCATCAAACTTTTTCTTTTCGTACATCTTTATAATAATTAATTTAAACAAAGGAGTGAGCAACAAGCAGTAGCAAGTTCTCAGCAAACAAATGAGAGAGAAAATGTAACATGTCTGAGATGAAAGCTTGCTTCTGAATAATAAGGTTTTAATTCACAATTAAATCCTGTTGGCTAATAAAAATTTTTGCTTCCACATTTAAATCATTATTGGCTGAAGCCTTTATGTAAGGAGCCTTGGATTATGTAAAAATCATGACGTTCTGCCTAGACAGTATAGTGGTTAGGGAAGCCTCCTGCGGTTCCGAAAAGCCTGTGTTTGAATGCTAGAGAAGGCATGTATGTTTGTAAATGTATAATGTCTGTGTGGCTGCATTCTAAATATGTGGTGAGCCAAAAGTCCTGTCGAGAGATTAGTAAGACCATTGGACCAAACTCCCACGATGCTCTCCATCAAAATTGGTGGCGGAACTGAGCGAAGTCATACTCTCACCTGTATGGTGCTCAAGGCTCTTGCCAATGACAGGCGCAATCTTGCTGTCCTTGCCACAATGAATTTTATGAGCTTGTTCTGATGTTACTCTCAGAGAAGTGAGGTAAGTCACAAAACACAACACAAAATTCATAACATGGATTAATTTTGAAATGATGCAGTTTAGAGAAATTTTTATAAGCCATTACTATTTTTAGAACAGTAAGGCTGCTATCACACATCCGTTTGTTTTGGAAGAACAACTGTTTGGAACAATTTTTCTGTTTTGTCACAACAGCCAATCGCCACAGATCACTTTGAGGTTAACGCAGTGGAAACTATTTCACCATTACAAACAAGCTCATAATTTTCTTCTTTTGTAATGAGTATAAAACTAATATATAATAACCAAATAATAAGTATAGTAACCAGGGTACAGCATTAAAAGTTAGATTTCACTATTTGCTGTTTTTTTTTTTTTTTTTTTTTTTTTTTTTTTTTTTTTTTAAATTTGGCATTGCCAAAGTCTGAATATTTCTTCATTCAAAACACTTCTGTGACTGGAAGTATATGACTGCGACCAATGGTTGCAAAAATAAAGGCTGAGTATATATTTATCTTTAAATTCATTAATTTTGTTATCTCTTTACACTATATTAAATTTTAACTTAATCTATTAATATTTTATCTCTTTACATTTTGCATAATTTTAATTATGCATTATTTTAGTTATTTAATATTTCCTAATTGCCTTCCATAGAACTCAGGCACTTCTGTCTGTAATGACAGAATTTAAAAACATATAACTTAAAATCCATGCTTTGTATATTTAATTTTTAAAATTGAATCTTCAACTATGTTCAGTATAAAAAACTTTATAAATGAAAGTATACAGAATCTGAAATAGTTGGACATGAGTTGCAAGATTTTTCTCTTTGCCCTGTGTCAGTCAAAATTCATACTGAGAATACTGAACTGGGTTTGGAAAAGATGAAGATAACGGGCTATGTTATGACTTTAGTGAAGAGAAATGAAACTATTCTCTAAGGTTACGGATATATCAAATTATATAAAGTAGAAATTGTACACACTGACAACAGCAGCAAGTCCCAATGTAGATGATGAAGATACCAATAGGAGCAACGAAAGAAACAATAAAGTACATTCAAAAGTCGTTAATTCGGACACCCATAATCCGGAATGATCTATAATCCGGACCTCAAAGCTACAAACTTTCTGCGCATGCGTCGCACTGACGCATGCGCAGTAAGACTTTTATGGCTGCAAATATGCGTGTGCGCATGTGCGTAATACGTTTACGCTTGCGCGTTTAATGTATAACGGACGGTATAAGCTAAGCTAAAATTATCTAATTCAGTTAATGTTGCAGATTGCGTTGTTCCTGAATCTTCGAATTGGTTCCGGCTTATTATTTTTTGCAGACTGTTACAGCAATTTTATAAAAGTAAGCTTGAACTTTTCGATTATGTCAAATAGAATTTCCGATATGTATTTACTGGAATATGTAAAGGATCTACAAAGCGAAAGTATGATTTAGAAAGTCCATATTAAACAAAAAGTGGAATTGCTGCAAAAAATGGATAAAGGCATATCCTTCGTTTCTCAAACCATTCTGAAATCTGTTTATCAGTTTCACGCTGCTCTGCGGCCCGGGGGGAGGAAACGCCGCGGTGCACAATGAATTGGAAATTAATCTGTCAGCACTATCCTTATCTTCAGGGCAGATGTTTTTATTTTATTTCGCTTACAATTCCTTACTAAATGTAGTATTTCATCTCGAGGTACTCCGTCTTTGATATGATTTAAATTAAATTCCTCGTCATTATAACTCGCTTCCGATAAAGAAGAAAGTGATACAGAGGTTATTGAAAACGAAAAAATTTCGATTGACTAATTAGTCGGTATTCTCGACATAGCAATTATAGGACTCTAACAGCGAACTTTGTAAATGAAGGAGAAATTATGTCTGCTTATAGAATTAAAGAGAAAGTATTATCACATAAAACGAAGCAACTTAAACAACTTACATTGAAAGAAATGTTTAATAAAGTAAAGAAATAAATATTAAGGTTTTTTTTTTTTTTTTTTGGTAAATTTTGATACCCTTTAGATCATAATTGTTCATTATTTCATAAATTACGGTTTCATATTTTTAATTTTATAATTTCTGCATGCCATCTTACCAGATTTAAACTGATGATCTGTAATCCGGAAAAGTCCCGACGAGTCCGGATTAACGCCTTTTGACTGTAAATGAATTTTTAAATTGTGTAATTAAGTATATAAAGCAAAGTAAAAACATGAGTGAATCAGCGTATTTCAAACATTTAAGACATTTTCATGATTTAAATAAGGGGGAAAAATGAAATTTAGTGTAATCCAAAGGAGGGTAGTCAATTTCTTCAAGTTTGTTAATAAGATTTGGACGGATAAACGTCTTCTAAGTAAGTTTGTCTTAAACAACTGGAATTTTTGAAAACCTACATATTTTTATTGTACTATATATATCAGTAGGGCATTACAAAAGTGCTAAGGGTATGTTTTACTGCAGTTTAATTTAATATATTATTTATTTTTAAGATTATTTTTAGTAGTGTTTTTTTAATATCTTTGTATAAGGTTGAATACTGTGTTTTGATTTACTCTTTATTTATTAAAAAATGTTACACACTATTAAAAGGATAAAATTTATTAATTTTGATTTATATATCTGTATATACATATATTGATCTACATACTACCTCCACAATAATAACAATAATAATAAAATAATTATTTGTAAAAAAAAAAATCATTATACCATATGGCGTTCCGAATTTCGAAATCTAGTCACCTTAAGAAAGAGAATGCTTTGAAAATGAGAAACACTCTCGTGTCTTGTACACGATCTACTTCAATCAATGAACAATGCATTGATCATCATTCAGCAATTATCCCTGTATATTTGTATCCTGTGAAGCAATTTTAGGTACTTACGGAAAATCCCGTCGACCACAAGAAACGGCGCCAAACTGAAAAAAAAAAAAAAAAAAAAAAAAAAAAAAAACTAAATACAAGAAAAAAAAAAACGTTCTATTCTTATTTTTCTTTCAAATTGATTATTAGCATTTATTTATATTTAATTTTATAGATATAACTATAAATTAAGAGTGCAATCAAAACTGAAATAGTAGAACCCTCGAAACACCTTTCCTTTTCGAATGTTGCAACGCCAATTCTTCTCAGTTTTTAAATAAAGCGCCATTTCTTGGTCATTAACACATGTTTTTGAGGCCGGTAAGGTTCCATAACTTTGGATTTCGAAAATACGTGATAGAGGTAAAAAAAGGAGTCTTTACTCAAGAATAACTAACACGTGTAATCACGGTTACACCAAACCCAGCATGTTTGAAGAAGACTGTTCCATTTTTTGGCGAAAAATCGTGTAGCTTAGC